GGTGGGAAATCTTTTAAAAATCCCAAACAAATAAATTAGGGGTTTTCATTTACGTGCGTCTTCAAAACAAAAGTGAATGTTACTGTGAGGGAACGCCGAGCCGCCACTGAAGTGGTCCTGGAGACCGTGCTTCATGGAGCAGGAGTGAAATGTTGGTGTTATCATCCTTAGAAACAGAACAGGCGTTTCCAGGCACGTGACTGTGAGCTTTATCGATTGTTGCTGCCCAGCACAGGAGCCCGCAGAGTGTGGACTAAACTGCTGAAACCTGGGCTCAGCAGGAGCCTCAGCTGAAGGCTGTAGATGAGAGCACAGGCTCCAGTTCCATCCTCATCCCAAAGCTCCTAAAGAAGGATCAGGACAAAACCCAATGGTTTAACCCCAGATGGCTTTATTGACATCCAGGCTCCGAGGGTTCCCAAATCCTCGTTCTCTCCTTACCCCGCAGCCCCTGTGGTGACCACAGGTTTGTCGCTCTCTCCCCTGGGTACACCCRGGCCTGGCTCAGCTCCTTCCTGAGCCCTGGAAGGCAGAGCAGGAGTGCTGCTCTGATATTAATTAGCCAATTAGCAGCCGGTGCAGCGTGCGTGCCCAGGCAGAGCGGCAGAGCCCAGGGGACGAGTGACAGTGGAGATGGATGAGTTCATTCGCACTGCTGACCCYGGCTCCCCGTGGCTGATCTCACGTGTCTCTGTCTCCCCATGCAGGTTTTACTGGGACCTGACCATGCTGCTGCTGATGGTGGGCAACCTGATCATCATCCCCGTGGGCATCACCTTCTTCAAGGATGAAAACACCACCCCGTGGATCGTCTTCAATGTGGTTTCGGACACATTCTTCCTCATCGACCTCGTCCTCAACTTCCGGACGGGCATCGTGGTGGAGGACAACACCGAGATCATCCTGGACCCGCAGAGGATCAAGATGAAGTACCTCAAGAGCTGGTTCGTGGTGGATTTTATCTCCTCCATCCCCGTGGACTACATCTTCCTGATYGTGGAGACGCGCATCGACTCCGAGGTGTACAAGACGGCGCGGGCGCTGCGCATCGTGCGCTTCACCAAGATCCTGAGCCTGCTGCGCCTGCTGCGCCTGTCGCGCCTCATCCGCTACATCCAYCAGTGGGAGGAGGTGAGACAGCCCCCGTGGCCACTCCAGGGCTGCTCTGGAGTGCCCGGGCTCCTTCTTGCCTCTTCTGGGGCTGCCTCATGCCTGGTTTGGGCGGTTTTCCAACAGTTGTCAGGACCCGCGTGATCTGTGGGAATGCTGCACAGGCAGGGAGCGGGATGGGCCTGATGTTTGGGGTGTGTTCCCGAGGGAATCCTGCAGGTTTTTGGAACCCCTGTGATCCATGGGGATGCTGCACGGGCAGGGAGTGGGGTGGGCACGGGTGGGCCCCGTGCAGGAGGTGGGTGCTGGTGAACAGATCCATCAGCCGGGCAGCAAGGGCTCACCCTCCCGGAGCCCCCTGAGGTGCAGGAACAGCTCCAGGGGAACAGCTGATGTGCAGAACTTGGGGCATCTGTTTGCCATCTGCTGCTTCTCTGTGCTTGTCTCCTGAATGAAGGGAAGAGTGTGGAGCTGTGCTAGAACCCTTCTGCTTTCCTTTCTGCCGTCTCTGGCWCTGTGCTAAGGGGAAAGGGAGGAGGAGCAATCTGCAGGCAAATTCTGGTGAAAAGCAAGATCCCCACTGCCCCTGGGGCCCCTGGAACCCGTGCTGTTCCCAGGAGGGTTTCCAGCGTGCAGGATGAATTGTCAGGCATGATGTGGGTGAAGCCATAATCTTRCAGGCAGCTGAAAATCAGTTCTTTTCCTCCTGTCACCGTGCTCTCCAAAGCAGAGAGAAAGCTTCCTACATCTTTTTCCTCATGTGAAGAATTTTCAGGCAGAGGAAAGCCAGTCAAGGCAATTTCACCCTCGACTCCACAGTTTGTGCTRTGCTTGGGAGCAGAGCATGATCTGATGGTGAGTGTGCTCCCAGGACTGGGAAGGGGAGGGTGCATCTTTTTCCTGCATATTTTTCCTCATGTCAGAAGCGTGTTTTCAGGCCGAGGAAAGCTGTTCAAGACAATTTCACCCTCGTGCCCATAGTTTGTGCTGTGCTTTGGRGCAGAGCATGATCTGATGSYGAGYRWGCTCCCAGGACTGTGAAGGGGAGGCGGCCAGGCGAGTCACGGCTGGGCTGCAGTGAGCTGTCACAGCATGGATTCACGGCAGGCTGAGTGATTTAATATCTGAGCAGCACTCCTGCTCTGCCTTCCATGGCTGGGRAAGGAGCTGGACCAGGCCCTTTTCCTGCTCCCAGCAGCCCAGGCRCAGTGGGAGAGCACGAGTTCCGAATCCCGTCCTTGCAGTGCTGTAATCTGGGAGCAGAGCAGGGTTTGTGATGGGAGCTCTGCGATGGCATCGGGCACGGTGCTGGGCATGTGCTGGGGAAGCGGCTGCAGAGCTCAGAATTCACTGCTGGGTTTGTTTGATGAATAAAGCCGAGTGTCCTTCTGGGGTGACCCAGAGAGCTGAGCTGAGTGTCAGCGCTGGGATCTCTGCAGGTGCATTTTCCTGTCGCCTGGTTGTTGTGCTCCCCCGTTCTCCAGCCCAAGAGGCCTGGAGGAGGTGGCTGCAGCCCTCGGAATTCACTGCTGAGTTCGTTTGTTGAAAAAAAACAAGTGTCCTGAGGTGACGTGGTGAGCTGATCCATGTGTGAAATCCAACATCCCTCCCTGCAGCCATCAGGGGTGATCTGGGAGTGCCAGCACTGGGCTCTGGGTGTACACAGGCACAGAGGGACTGCTGGCACAGGGGATGCTGCAGCTCTGGTCCCACATTCTCCCCCACTATCCCGCTCCATGTCCCCTGCGCCAGCAGTGTCCTTCTCTCCTGAGCTCTTTGGCCTTGACCAGAGCAGCAGCAAAGGACGTG